ATTCTAAATCCTCATTTTTATCTAAGTTAATTAATTTTCGAGATCTAAAAAAAATATAATATATAATGTGTGGGTGTGTGTGGGTGGGTGTCGCGCACAAAAATACCTTTTTATAAAATTTCATTTATTTATATTCTCTCACAAAAAAAAAAATTATAATTATTACGGTCCCATCTTTGATTTTCTTTAATTCATTCTCAAAAACTAAATTTATAAATTAAAAGAAAAACAACAGCAAAACCTAAACCTGAATCTCTTCAAATAGATTTTTTTTTTAAAGAGTTTTTTTTTTTTTATCGTATCGAATCGTATAGAATTATTATCATTATTTCGAATTTAAATTCGTTAGGATATATATATATATATATATATTGTTCGATAATAATTTTCGCAAATCAACAACCGGAAGACAACAAAAAAAAAAAAAAAATTAAAAAATTAAAAAATTTACTTACGAAAATGGCTGACTATTACACAATGCTTTACAATAGTGAACTAAATATTCGCATGGACCCCACGGAGGATGACCCCCATTTATATATAATACGTACGTAAAACCATCTTTGCATCTTCCTTTAATTAAATAATAATACGGCAAGAATGATTGCAATCTGAAACAAAAAAAAAAAATATATATATATATATAATAAGTATTTCCCGACACGTGATTCGAGGAACCCCTACGGGGAGAAGGCGGTAAGGGGGTAAGGGGAGGGAAAAGGGGGGTTAATTATTTGTACTCACTTAAAGTTTCGACTTTCGTAAAAACGTATGGCAGGCGTGTTTGTCGTTAAAACGTGTAAAAAAATGGCCCGACAAAATTTGTGCTCGACCGTCGTTAAATGAGCAATTAAATTATCAAGTAATAAACTTGCTATACCGTTCCTCCTATGCGGTGCACTCACTCCAAGGCTCAAGATATAACCGGCTTCTGTGTTTTTAGGATTGAGAGGTACCGAAAGTATACCTCGATCCTGAAACGATAATAATAAAAAATATCCGACTCAGTAACAGAAGAAAAAATATACCACAATGATAATAATAATAATAATTTTATCCCATGAGTTTTTATACAAAAAAAAAAATAAAAATTTCATTAACCGTAC